ACTTTCACTGTTCCTCAGCGGAGGAATGATCTTCACAAGCCTCCAGAACATCTCACATCTTCTGAGGAGCCTTTATTTCTTCAGCTCTCAATCACTGCATTATATGTTTGGAGCATTTCAATCTCATCTCACTGAGACAGATTACTGGAGATATAGAGCCACGACTGAGATTTAGATAATTTTATGTCAGTATCTGCTCTACTGTTATAAAGATCTCACTGATTTACATTACAAGCAGCAGAATTTCATCATAGAAATATCAGCATCTGCAGCAAATTGCTTTTTTTTTTTTTTTTAGTTTGGGTCTCGGAATTTTCCTTCATATTTTCACTGTATCAGACTATATGAGCCATAAAAGCTTGACATATCAAATATTATTTAAAACATTTTTTTTTAGACTTTTTTTAACATTTTTTAGGTTCAAAATAAACTTTTCCATTTATTTATTGATTTATTTATAAAAAATAAAAAATAAAAAAATAAAAAGATTTTTCTGACTATTATTTCAGGCTTCACAGGGAGTTTAAACCCTGCTGGAAACACATTAAAATATTCAGAAATTAAAAGTTTTAATTTGATGGTTACCTGAATCTCACAGGCTGTGACTAGGTTATGAATGTAGTAAAATGCCTCTTCGATTGTTTCTCCAACAGACACCAGACCGTGATTCCTCAAAATCAACACCTGAACACACAAACCATTATAAATGTAATAATTTAACACCATATCAGCAACAAATGCTATATTAATGCTATGCAATTTAAAGTTATCATAATAATAAGACTTCAATTAATTACATAAATACTTTCAATTGGATACTTGATAGAAAATCCACAATTTTCCAAAAATATTTTTTTAAATGTCCATTAATTAAATTTCTGAATAAAACCACTGTCTCATAAAAAGTCATTCCAATAAAATATACTTTACAGTCTTACAAAAATCATATATTCCAATTCAACCACTTGTCTATAGGTCAAAGACGAAAAAGGGTTTTCCTGATTTACAGAAGAGACCCACTAAAATGTCATTCAGTGTAACAATCCTGTCAGGAATATTTACAACAAATATCAATTTATGACATATTAAAAGACTAATTACGTTCACCCCAAATACTAATTAGTTGTAATTTTACATTTTTAAAATGTGCCACTATCCTAGGTTTTGCCCATTGGTCAGTAAGAATTTTTTACTCATTTAAAACACAATAAAATTTAATATGCTCCCTTATTCTTTTATATATTTTAATATGTACAGGTCAGAATAAGCATGTTGTTTGAATTTTTACATAAATACTGTGTTACACTGAATGACAATGTAACATTATTACAACCAAATTTTGACATTTTATCTTTTTTGAAACCTTAAAAGTAGACACTTTTAATACTTACATTTAATATGCTTTCTATGGACATAAAATCACTTTTGTAAAATTCTTTTGATGTGGTCATCTTAACGTCTTTGACCCACATACAGTCATTTCTATTTTCACAATGAAAGCAATGGTTAGACCTTTTATTTATAACTGGATTTGTTTTGGACACATTCATTTTATTCATCACTTTCTGGAATAGTATTTCAGGTAAGTGTGATTTTAACATCAGATGATGGTATTTCAGTGCATAACTTTACACAACATAAAACCGGACAAAGCTAGAAGTTCAGCAGAACGTGCTACAGCCCTGTAATCTGTGTGTATTTGTGGTACCTTGCTCTTAGGACCCAGGTTCTTCTGTATGAGGACGTTCTCCTCCTCGTCCACCAGAATACCGTGGTAATCGTGGTATGCCACCTCGCCCAGCGACAGAGCCTCGGGTGAAATGGGCAGCAGACCACACTTCATAGCAGACACCTGGAAATATTAAAACACTTAATATGTATAAATCAGACAAAATTAAAATCAAAAATCAAATGTTGCAATGAAATAAATACACTTTGCACTATTTATGTTCTCATTTTATTGTATATAATATTTCATAATTTATATTTCGAGGTGCATTTCATGTCTCATTTCATTTTAATGAACTTTAAATCAATAAAAAGAAATGCAATGAAATGAGAGCATAAATTAAGAGTGCAAAAAGCATTTATTTCATTGCAACATTTATGGTCTCATATCTCTTTTTTATTTCATTGCAACATTTCCTATATTTCATTTTTATAATTTTGTCTGCTACTGTATATTGAGGTGCATTCTGTCTCAATTCATATTAATAAGCTTTAATAAATTAATGAATAAAATGCAACGAAATAGGTGTATAAATAAACAGTGCAAAATATATTTATTGCAATGAAACAGTTATTTATGCTCTCATTTCCTTGTATTTTATTTTCACTGCAACATTTCATATATTTCATAAATTAATTTTAATATTATATTTCGATGTGCATTTGATGTCTCATTTCATTTTAATGAACTTTAATAAATTCATGAATAAATACATTTTGCACTATTTATTTATGCTCTCATTTCAGTATTTTTATTCACAAATTTATTAATTTAAGTGCACTGAACTGAAACGAGACGTAAAGTGCACCTCAAAATTAACAATGGACAAAATTAAATTATGAATAATTACATTAAATGTTGCAATCTTTATATAAAAATGGATCAAATGTGAACAAATAAGGCGAATGTCATTTTTCATCGTCACAAATATATTTTGCACTATATCTCTTTTCATTTTTTATTAATTAATTAACTTTTTGCACTATTTATTTATGCTCTCATTTCATTGTATTCATTTCATTTTCATTGTATTAACATTTCATATATTTCATAATTACATTTTGTCCACTATTATATTTTGAGGTGCATTTCGGGTCTCATTTTAATACATTTAATTTAATAAATTCAAGAATAAATACATTTTGCACTATTTATGCACTCATTTCATTGTATTTTTATTTATTTATTTAATTTATTAAACCGAAATGAGACTAAATGCACCAAAAAAGTACAAAAGTACATTATGAAATATTATATGAAGTGTTGGAATTTGCAAATAAAAATGGATAAAATGTAAACGCATAATTTTTGTTTGTTCACAAAAAAATATATTTTACACCATATCTTTTTTTTTTTGTATTGATTAAATATAATTTCATTATTATTTTCTATCAATAATTAATTATTAATAGATATATGATATGAATTGGTACCGCGGTGCCAGCGGGTGTGTGAATGTGCACTATGCACTTGACGTCGGGCCGGGCAGCGTAGATGGCGGAGTGGAGGGTGAATCCAGCCTGATTTACACCCAGATTAGTGCTGCCTCTGTCCACAATCTCCCCCTGCAGGTTAATCTTCACCTGAGGACACACACAATCCTGCTAAATACAGAAGTTACACACTACATGATAATATCTGTCAGCCTTTATCTTCTGATGTCCAGATGGCTGAGAAAAACAAAGGCAGGGTTACCAAACTGGAGGCAGTGACTTCACTGTACAGAAGCCCAAAAGGGACAATCAGAAAACGCTCCTGTTCAGAGTTCAGCCGGACCTGAGGAGACAGAGGAAGAGAGCTTGGATTGAAGTTCTCACATGTAACGTGTCCAGTGCTGTATATATTTGTGACGCACTCACCGTCAGGTGGTTGTAGATGAGCTGAGACCAGCCGAAAAGGTCGGCCAGGCGGTAAAACGCGGCGAGTTTACAGCGCAAGAGCTTCTCTCCTTTCTCATAAGCGATGGAGTCTGAACCTCTCAGATCATTCACTGGAGTCACCATCCCCAAACCTGAACACACACACACACACACACACACACACACACAAACACACAGAGAAACACACACATATACAGACACACACAAACACACACACACATATATATACACACACACACACATATATACACACACACATATATACACACACACATATATACACACACACACACACACACATATACACAAACACACACATATACACAAACACACACACACACACAAACACACATATATACACACACACACAAACACACACACACACAGAGAAACACACCCATATACAGACACACAAACACACACAAACACACACATATACACAGACACACACACATATTAGTAGCATATTAATGCTCCTGAAGTAACACACTCACTCATGTTGAGGGCTGCCATGCCTCCCTGGGGCGCGGTGGGGTACATGGTGGGGACGCTGGTGGTCATGAAGTCAGCGATCTGCTGCAGCGCCAGCAAACTGGTGGGGGTTTTCCCCTTCTTCATCTGATCCTGGATCAGAGACTCCAGCTCATCACAGAACGCCTGAAACACACAAAACACGCAATTACAACCAGAACTACATGGTTGCTAGGGTGTTGCTAAGTGGTTACCAAGTCAACAGCATAACATTCTAGATATGGCTAAACATGCTGCATGATTTCAGGATACATTTGTGTCTGTGGCAAAAACTTTGTTAAAATTTAATTACTATTGCTTTAGCATTACTAATTACTATAAATGAAGACCATTAGCTGGAAAACTCCTGTAAAAACATTAAAAATCGTTCTGATCCCAAACTTTTGACCGGTAGTGTGTGTGTGTGTGTGTGTGTGTGTGTGTGTGTGTGTGGATGGGTGGGTGGATGGATAGATTATTTTAACTATATATAAAGATAGAGAGAACATATCATACTGAATTATAAATATGAAATATGAACTATTAAAATACTTTTTTATTTATTATTTAAATTTTATCATATACATTTAAATTTAAATACAATTTTAAATAATTTTAATATAACATTTATTTAAATATATTACATTACATTACATGTATTATATTAATTATATGTATTTATTTATTTAAATATTATTTACATTTTTTCCAGCACTTCTAGTCCAATGGGAGGAGATTTAAAATGTACTTAAACTTGCACTCGAAGAGATTTGCTCAATGCTGAAAAATATTAGAGGGAACTATTTGAAGGTACTTGATTAAAGACGGTCGTTACTTCAAGCACAGAGTACATTAAAAACCCCTTAACTGTCACCGGGACGGGATACCTAAGTTTACTTCACTATAGTACAATTAAATCTTAGTATAATCATGACAAACTATATTTCATTGGAAAGGTCTAAGACTCCTAAATAGATATTTTACCATTTTATTTTGTTACAAATTATGTAGGAACAGTAATAGATTAATTTATGACAAGAGTGCACCAAGAGTCTATAATAAATCTACATCATAACAGGAGTTCTGGCCATTGTCACAAAAAGTCTTTATTTCGTTGCCTTTTTCCCTATCTCAGGTTTTAGTAATCATCATAAGTTATATATCATTTGAAAGCTTAAAATCCAAAACCATTTTGAAATCAGACATTGCGTTACCATAGAAATGGTATTTCAAAATCTTTTAGCAGTCTCCTCCCCCTTAGCGGGGGTGTCATATTACAAAATGTATTACAGTCTTTTAGAATCAAAACTTTTTATTATCTTGAGAGAGAAATTGATAGATTTGTGACAGAAATGCATCAAAAAAAATTTCAATGGAGTTTGGGTGGCACCCGGTGGCTGTTTTTGGTATAACGCCTAAACAAAATTGCATATGAACCTCAATTTTTTTTATATCGACTTCAAATTTGGAACACAACTTATGTAGACATACGGCTTTAATTTTATAGCAATTTTGTATTTTTAACAATTTTTTTTTAAATATTTATTTTATATAAAATAAAATAAAAATAGTACAATACATTTTCTTTACAGTAAATTTAAACTTCTATAACTTTTTAATACTTTCATTTTATTAAATGATTTCACTTCTGTAATAATCTGCTAATTGTCTTCTTTAAAAAGAGACCAACCTTAGGTCTGTATTCAAAAGCGTTCATGAATTATAATAATTTAAGTCTGGATAGTGCACTTTCTTGTGAATTTGGATGACAGTTAAAGGGTTAGTTCACCCAAAAATGAAAATTAGGCTGCGTGTTACTCACCCCCGAGGCATCCTAGGTGTATATGACTTTCTTCTTTCAGACAAATCCAGTTGGAGTTATATTAAAAATTGTCCTGGCTATTCCAAGCTCTATCATTGCAGTCTGCGGGTGTTGCATTGCTTCAGTCCAAAAGAAGTTAAATAAAAAGCGCCCATTCATAAGAAAAAAAGTGTCTCGCACGGCTCCGGGGGCTGAACAAAGGCCTCCTGTAGCGAATCAATGCATTTTTGTAAGAATCTTGTAAGAATTTTGTAAAGAAAGCTTTTTGTAAGAAAAATATCCATATTCAAAACGTAATAATCACTTTAATCTAGCTTGCGCTCACTGTTGTAAACAGAAGCAGCTCCGGGCGGATGACGTATGAGGTCAGCGTTGCGCATGCGCCGCTCAGAAGTAACGAACGCGGAAACGCAGCGGAGAGATCAAAACAAAACAACAGTCACTTGTAGTACAAGTACAAACAGTACAAGTACAAAACGAGGATTTGTAAAGAAGAATGTCAGAGGATTTCGTAAACAAACGTTGGTTTTCACGAGACTCACCGGCAGAGGCGGACAGTAGTGAAGTATTTTTACTTTACTCAAGCAAATGTTTTTCTTTGGAAAACTTTTACTTCACTACATTCCAAAGCACAAGATCGTACTTTTTACTTCACTACATTTCATAAAACTTATCGTTACTCCTTATAAT